CGATCGCGGCTCGGACCGCAGAGCCGAGGCCGGTGGGCAGGGCGGGCGCGGGCGCGGGAAAGGAGCGCGCGGGCCGACGGGGCGGCAGCGGCCGCCAGGGAGCAGGCAGAGCTCTAGACACGGTTCTATTTTATTACGGCAAAGGTGAAAAAGCCACCTCGGCCCAACAGGCAACCAGTAAAATTTATCCCAAAAATAACTCGGTACAAAACGGGTCTGCTTCAGAATTAAAAAAAACCTTTACATGAGTTTAAAACCTATTCCAAAACATAAAAGTAAAACAAATTCCATCCTTGATATTAGTAGCCACAGTCGCACACCCCTCCCGACACAGAGCATGGAATGAGATGTCTGGAGTCCTTCCATGCACTGCTCGCCACTTTAGCTGGTGTCCATCTAGAAGAGAGCAGAGAGGAGCGTCAGCAGCCCACCACAACCATCCCCTCCTCCCCCCAGCTCCAGCCCCGACCTCCCAGCCCTGGCTGCCAAGCCCAGGATGCTGCTGCTTCAATAGCAGAGATGCAGCCCTAACCCTGGCCCCACGGCGCCTACTGACTGACCTGACCTGCACATCAGTTCTTGGGCAAACTCCCTACGTCACACTTCTCACTCCTCAACCTAAAGCTTTTTCTAACTATCATCATTTAAGCACCTCTAGTTTCAGAGAGCACTGCTCTAAACCACGTTTTCACAGCCATGTTTCTAGAATTCATCTCACTTTATCCATGCTATCATGGATTTCATCCCATTTCTACAACACAGACCAACAAGATTCAGACTACATCATACACCAATTTAACTTTGATTCTCAGTTAAGACTTCAGTCTTGCTGTGACACAACATCTGAGCTCATCCCAAATGAAAGAAACCACATGCATTGCTCTGCTCATCCAGCTCTGCATTAGGGTCTTGCAGGCCGTGATCAGCATCACTGACTTTTTTCCACTTCTTAGCACCAAGGCAGTTATTTCATGTGTTTTTTTCTTTTTGTTTTTCATTTTTCCAGCCTGTTATCTCTCTGGGCTTTGGTCCATAGCTTTTGTTCATCACACATCTTGGCTACTGCCAATTCTGGCTGACACAGGCTGCAACAAGCCAGGGGAAGTTGGAAAGGGGCTATTTCTTACTTATGAGCAACAGTAGTTCTGGAGAGCTAAGGCAGCTACAGGAACAGGGCAATGCTCAGCTTTAGAGGGAGGCTATTTTAAGTCCAATGACCTGAAAAACAATTTCTCTTTCCAGCCAGCTGCCAAAGTTTGTCAAAAAGACACCACAGGGTACCTGTGAACATCATGTGAGCAGCACTTACCCTGGCATTGTAAGCATCCAGCTGTGCATCTAGTTCTTCTGCAGAGAGCTGCTGTTTGGAAGTTCTTCCAGCCCCTCTGCCTCTCCCTCTGCTCCCGCCACGACTACCTCGCCTGGTACCTCCACCACCAAATCCTCCTGTACCACCACGGTTTCTGGTCATGCCACCTCTGTTTACACTGTGATTTTTAAAAAGCAACTGTTATAGTGCATTCTGGTTAACCCCAACAGGCACTCAGAAGTTTGCAGGACACGAGGAGGATCCATGCTTCCTAAACAGGCCAGTTCACTCCTCGTGCTGACTGGCACAGCGACTCCCGCGGCAGTACGGCTTCTCACCTCTGTGCTGGTCTCCTCTGTGTGTCTATCTGTGATGTAACCAGCTGAATGTTCATGGGGCGCCCTGCAGGAAAAGCAGCCAGTTACCCTGTGAGCCTGACAGGCACACAAATGCCACCAGCTGCGCAGAGAAGCATGCAACAGCCACGGAGACTCACCATCCAAGGGGACTCCATTGTACTGCTTCATAGCTTTCAGAGCATCTGCTTTCCTTTCAAAATGCACATCTGCTGTCCCTAGACTGCGTCCAGATCTGTCGTAGTGCACTGCCGCCTTCTTCAAGGTCCCAAATTCTGCAAAGAGTTCCTGAGAAACAGAGGGAGAAGCGAGGATGCTTCAGTCAGTGCCACAAACACCAAGCAGCCCAGACAAGGTGCAGGCAGCTCCTGCTTTCAGCAATCACATGTACATTCCCTGACATCTCACAAAAAGCACCAATGAAAGAAGGAACGCAAGCCATTAAAGAATTCCAAAAAGCAGCCACAGGTGGCAGAAACAAACAGGACTTCATATCCACCACTTGAAGGGTGCTTGTATACGAAGCAGCTTCAAGGTATGCTGACCTGCTCCTTTTCCCAGGGACACTGCCGGTCTTTTTTCAAGATTGAATCAATAGAGACACTGTTTTAAAATAATCCAGACCCTAATCAATTTCCCAAGGAAAGATCATCCGTACAAATACAGAAATTCATAAAATAATCACAGTTTCTATAAGACTTCTTTGTTCTTAAAAGCTTTGCTAGACCAGGTGCAATTTAAAGCACAGTCCCTTCCAGAGTTTAGGGATATTTCTGAATCAACTGAAACCAGGAAGTCTTCTACTGAAGTACATCATTCACCGTCACAAGTTGGAAGACTGCACCAGTGGAGCCATCCATTTTGTTTCAGATGCTACACCTAACATACCATCTAGGGACATCTCACTACTCTGCAAGTTTTTACCTACACCCCATGCTTCAAAAGCTCCAAATGCACAAAATTGTCAGGTGTCCAAAGTGGACACCACAGGCTGCCTTTCACATCACCTGCAGCAGAGCCTGAACACTATTCCAGGCACCTCTACAAATTCCTTCTGAAAAGAGCACTATAAATATTTTCACTTCTTAAGCCAGCTGCACTTCAGGCAAGCTTGTCAGTAAGTTTCTCCATTGTGTTCATTTACTGGACATGAACGTTAGCACAGCACTCAACAAGCTTTCTGGAAGACAGCACCAAATGGGAGGAGAGGTGCTCCATCACATCCCTGTCCTGCAGAAAAGCTGGAGCCACAGCATCACACAGCCTCCTCCAAGAGCAAAATGTGCAAGGCTCCCTCCAGCCCCTCATTCCTGCAGCACAGCATTGAGCTGTGCAGTGCCATATTAATGACACGATCAGCACAGAAACAAAGAAAACAATCAGTGCAACTCAGTGGGAAATTATGGGATGGGCAGTAACAAAGAGACACAAGCCCATTAAGTCAGCTTTGCTGCTACATATAACATATGCACAAGTTTGTCTGCTCTTGCAGTCCAAGCCAACTGTGGAAAGGAAACTCAACTGCCACACAAAACACATGAATTCCTTACACTGAGATAACTTTACAGATTCACATTTTACATGTTGGGCCTGATTACAGCAAACAGGAAATTTATTTCAACTGAACCTAAACTTACTTGAGGAAAAAACAGTGGTTTTAAGTGCATCACTCAATAACTAGTGGCAAAAAAAAGCTCACTTCCAAATCTCCTGATGCATACAGATTGGCATATGGGTGAACAGGAATGAATTAACAGATGAAGAAAACATAGAAGCGATTTTTTATTATTATTATTTTTTCCTGGTGGGGACACAAGGACCAGAAACCATCCAAAGTTCTTTGCAACATGACTAAGCCAGCAAAACCCTCCAGAGAGGATGCTCCTTGGATTTGCAGATGTTTCTGCACACCTTGCTGCCCACAGGTGAGAGCAGCCCCACAGCTATGCAGGCACACTGAGCCCTGCCTGGCTCAGCTCTATGGCAGACAGCCTGCACCCAGGGAACAGCTGGAACAAGGGATTTAGCTGCAGCTGGTAACTCAGCTAGAACATTCAGCTGTTGTAAGATACGCCTGGTAATTGTGGAAATGACAGCATGAGTGAGCAGGTACTCCCTCATAAATCAGACTTCTCAATGTCAATGATGCATCTATAAAAACATCTTGCCACTGAACAAAACACAGCTTTAACAAAGAACGTACATAAAGAAGTACTATGAAAACAGAGCCAACAGATGTACACACAGTTACTGAACCTCTGGAATTACACAAACCTTAAAAGCTCACACAGCCTGCGCCAAGCTTTGCAGTCATAGCAAGACTGAGCTAAGGCAGCATCCCCCACACAACATCATGGCAGAGCCATTTAATATGCGATTACCTACAGCTCCATAAAGACCGTGGCTTTTCTGAATACAGCCACTCAAACTCCTCAGAACAGGGCCCCAGCAGTGCCTGCAGCACAGGGCTAAGCACTGTACGGAGAGCCCTTCCAATGGGAGCAGGGCCAGCAGTGCTCCTGCAGCCACCCCCAGCATCCAGCACCAATGTTATGAATGAAACCCCCCGGGAACAACCCCGAGCCCGTACCTGGATATCCGCATCTGAGACGCCGAAGTCCAAGTTGGAGACGAGCAGCTTCCCGCCGGTCTCCACGCCAGCGCCCGCCCCAAAACCGCTGTCGAAGAGGTCGTGCTGCCACTTCTCGGGGAGCTGTTTCGGCTGCAATAAGAGGGACGCCTCGCTGAGCGGCGCCGGGGCCCGCCGGCACGGCCCGGCTGCCGGCAACGGACAAAGGGCCGCCCGCCCCACCGCCCCCGCCCCATCCAGGAACCGCCGCCGCCGCCTCCCGCCCCGCGGACCGGACCCGCTCCCTCCGGGCCCCGCCCACGATACGCCGCCCCCGCTCCCGGCCCGTACCCGGCTGTACGGCGCGGGCCGATTCCTGCCGCCGCCCCGGGCCATCACCGGCCTGTTCCGCACGGGGCCGCCGCCCGCTCGCCCGGCTCCCACGCCGCCCCGACCGGGCCCGCCCCCGCGGGTGACGCCGCCTCGGCCCCGGCCGCCCCGGCCGCCGCCCCGGCCACCGCCGCGCTGGCTTCGGTTGAGCTTAATGATATCGTCCAGGGACATGTCCATCTTGTCGGCCATGATGGCGGCTCCGCTCCGGGGCCTGCGCTTCCGGCCGCGCTGCGCCGACGCCGGAAGCGGAAGAGGCGGGGCCGGCGGCGGAGGCGCCGTGCTCGCGCGCGTTCAGATTCGCGGGGCCTTGTGGGGCGTCGGGCGGCACTTCCGGCGGCGCGGCGCGGGCCGGCGGGCGGCACTTCCGGCGGCGATGCGGGTGAAGGTGCGGAGCTGGAGCGGCGTCGCCTCGTGGCTGTGGGTGGCGAACGACGAAAACTGCGGTATCTGCCGCATGGCCTTCAACGGTTGCTGCCCCGACTGTGAGTGCGGCGCGGCCGCGGGGCTCGGCACGGTGCGCGGCACGGTGCGCGGCACGGTGCGCGGCACGGTGCGGCGGGGCCCTGACGCTGTGTCCGCGCCGCAGGCAAAGTGCCCGGGGACGACTGCCCGCTGGTGTGGGGACAGTGCTCGCACTGCTTCCACATGCACTGCATCCTGAAGTGGCTGCACTCGCAGCAGGTGCAGCAGCACTGCCCCATGTGCCGCCAGGAGTGGAAGTTCAAGGAGTGAACCCCTCCGCCCCCGTCCGCCGCTCCTCTCCCGGCTCCGTGGGCGGGGAGCGGCGGTTTCCCTCGGGCTGTGCGGCGGGGGCGGGCGCGGCCATAAAGACGCGGCGGCGGCGGCGTTCCGGAGCGCTGCGCTCCGTCTGGCACGATGCGCGCCGCCCGCTGCCTGGCTCTGGCCGTAGCCGTGGCGCTGCTCTGCCGCCCCGCCGCGCCCTGGTACCGGCAGGCGGCCGCGCCCCTCTCCTACCCGGTGGGCAGAGCCTCGGGACTGCTCTCCGGCCTCCGCCGCTTGCCCTACAGCCGCCGCTCCGACGGCGAAGGTGCCGCCCAGCACCGCCCCACAGCGCTTCATCCCAGACTCGCTGCTCCGCTCCGTGCCGCGGTGAGTACCGGGATGCTCCGGTCATGGAACGTGCTGGGACCGGGACAGCCCACCTGTGGGGCTCCGTGGGCAGCCCCACTCCAACGTTCCCACCCGGGAACACGGGTCTCTGTGATGCTCTCCCCGCAGGTGCCGTGTGTGACAGGTGTGGACCCCGAGCTACGGAGCTGCCGGCTGCTGCTGGGGGTCCCTGGTGCTCTCCAGTGCAGAGCGGCTGTGACTGTGTCCTTGGTCTCCACGGAGTGTGCAGGTGCCTGAGGCAGCACCATGGCTCTACAGTAACAATAAATGCAAATGGAATGGAGAGATCTTGTCTGTCCTTGAGGGAATGGAGGTGCTTCTGGAAGCCCTCAGGGTTGGGGGGAGCCCACCAGGATATGGGGCACACGGGGGGGCCATGCCAGATGCATGCCCTGAGAAGCAGTGCCCACCCAGGGCTGTGTGGGTAAGGGCTTCGGTAGTGCCACAGGCACTGTGGGACAGAGCACAGGCTGAAGCCCCATTGCTGAGCTCGAGGCAAAAAAAACAGTGCAGGGAGAGGGAATCCTTTGAAATCAAGTGTCGGAGCTGGAACAGTGCCCACTTGGTTGGACAGAGGGGCACAAGGATCCACAGTGGGAAGTGGGGATCTGCCAGTGCTTGGAGCAACCCAGCTCTGAGCACAGTGCCTGTTAGCAGAGCTGCTGCAGAGGGAAAGTCTCTTTCACATGGCTGATAAGCCCCTACCCCTCCCTGCCATGTGTGCAGTTCTCTGAGCAATACAGGAGATGCATCTGAAGTTGGGGGGGGTTGCACCCAGCCAAGCCAAACTGAGGAAGGACTTTACCCTGGGGTGGGGGATGCCATCGACTGAGGTCAGGGGGAGCCACACACTGACTCCAAGCAAATCCAGCACTGCCACTGCTGAGACTCAGCCTCTAAGTTCACACATCTGCAGGAACTCATGACAGCACTGGCACAGCCTCAACCCTGCAGTCCAACTGTCCTAGAGGGGCAGGGATGGTGTTTTTGGGTACCCATGCCTGTTCCCATCCCCAGCAGAAAAATAACTCTGTGATTGCAACCAGCAAATTACTGCTCTAGGAGGAGACCTGCTGCCCCCATCTTTGCCTGCAGCAGGCAAAGGCCCTGCTCCAGGGTGCTCAGGTCAGGCTCTGGCAGCAGGACCTGGGTGCAGCAATACCCCAATGGTCACCACCCCCAGCCAGGGCAACACCCAGCACCCAAGCGTGCAGACCCAGGCTCTGGAGCCTTTGAGCAAGAGATGGGGCTGCATTGTCTGCAGACTGATCCAGCCCTATGCTGTGAAGGTGCCCCCACCCCACCATGCCCCCACCCACAACCCAGCACAGCCCCACATACCCAGCACTGCTGCCACCGCTCGCAGCATTGCGCTTCATAGGGGCGGCTGCCTTAGGTTTGGTGCTGGAGCCAAAGTCCTGAGCTGTGCTTGGGAAAGGAAGGAAAAAGAATAAATAAAACAACAAACGAACAAACAAACAAAAAACCCACAAAAATATTCAGTCAGTCACAGACTTTAAATTCATTTAATTATTTCCTCATTTTGACTCCACACTCATTTTTGCCCTCTGGGACTCTCAGGATGTGAGCGAATGCAGCCTTGGAAGGAGAATTAAAAGGGCCCGCAGGCACTTGAGGTAGGAGATGTCATGTGCAAAAGTTTTCTGCTTAGAAATAGCAGTGAGCAGTTGCACAGAACGCCACTCCACCACACACCCATTTGAGCAAGCGAAGCTGAGGCTTCTCTGGCAATTAAGTGACACCGGCAGGCACGCATCCGAGCACCAGGATCAGAAATGAAATGGTTTTGTCATTTTTTAATAACAGCAGTACCTGTGTTGGTGCTGGGGGCGGCTCAATGCATGCAGATGCTCTCAGCCTGGGGTCAGTTTATCACTGAGAAGGAGGTGGTTGTCATGATGGCTGCACAGTGCTGCTTGGCCGTGGGGAGCTGGGGGTCAGCGAGGCAGAAGCCTCAACCCTGAGAGCAGCATGAGACAGCAGAGCAGCAGAGAAGTGGGTCAGACCCAACACTGGGTACGAGGGTAAACCCACTGCTCCCATCAGATGTGCCCAAGGAGCTCCGAGAGAAGACAGGAGCCCCACAGTTCTCCCATTCCCACCCCATGGGGAGGCTGAGTGCTCCCACACAGGTGGATGGTTTGATCTTGGCAGCACTTCGTGACAGATGACGCATTCATTATGCAGATGGCACTGATGTGAGGCCTTGAGGCTCTGCAGCCCATCTGCACAAACTGTGGGCAGGATGGACCCTGCAGGGCTGCCTGCACACCTCAGTGCACCGAGGCACCGGGAGAATCTCAACTGCACGTCTGCCATGGCTTATGCAACTGCCAAAGCCTGGCACCCAGACTCGAGGACCAAAGAGACCAACAGACAACTCTTCAACGTTTTATTAATGATCAGCAACAGAAGTTTACAACAGAGGACAAAAGAATGGGCATGGAGGGATTGTACAGCACAGTGCAGGGAGAGGCCGAGCACAGCACCCTGGAATGTACAAGGCAGAGAAGGGCTCAGCCCAGCGCCCGGCTCTTCCCAGACCTCCTCAGGCCCTGCAGAGCCCCGCAGGAGGTAAACGTGCTGCACTTCAACCCTCATAAAACAGCAGTGAAATTCCAGCCCACAGGGTCACTCCTCCCAGTAACATCTGTCAGGCACAAGGTGCACTCCAGCAGCAGCAGCAAGCACAGCCCCTGGCACGGCCCACTGAGTCCTGCTCGTCTCATGCCAGGAAAGGCTGTTGGTAAGAGCCCCCTGTATGCTCCAGCCTTGTGCAAGAGAAATTCCTCAGCTCACCAGGGAGAACATCAGGCCTGAGGGGCTCTGTGCCTCCCCCCCCCCAGCAGATGCCAAGCTGCTGCCTGTCACTGGTGAAGTAAATGATTCACCGGCACCGGGCACAGCTGGAGAAAGGCTTTATCCAGTTAAACCAGCAGCAGTTTGGGTCTGGAGTTTGTGCAGAGACAGCAGCCAAGAAGCACCACCAGCAGGAGACACAGCGATGGGCCTGGCATCCCCAGCCCAAAGCTCACAGAACTGCTGAGCTGTGTTCGTTCCCCTGGGACCCCTCCAGTCTGCACCACTGCCTGAAGGGCTGCTCTGAAATGCAGACTCTGATCAGGACAGCAGAACGTGGATGGGGGCAGGAGAGGCCTGAGCAGCTGCTCCATTTCCAATCTTCTAAAAGCCAGAAATGGCAGAAAGTAAAAGCACATCAACATGTTAAAACGTTAGTTATAATTAAAAACATTATTTTTTTTTTTCCTTTTGTCAAATCTTCTCCTGGGAAAGGGAACAGTGGCTGATTAACAGAGGAAGAACTAGGCAACAAGATTCCAACTCATTACGTCTGCATAATTAGTGCAGGAGAGGGTAGGGCAGCACATCCTGAGCACACCGGCAGCACTGTCCTTGCTCAGACCTTCCTAGAAGAGCTCCCTGCTCCTCCAGAAGGTGACGCTGCGGCGTTCTGTGAGCAACGCATCAGCTCTCTGCTGGTCTAATGCTTCTCCTCCTCCAGTCTCTTCATGGCCTCCAATACTGCCAGCTCTTTGGCTTCCTTCTTCTGGTTCCTGGCTTCAAACTCCAGCCTGCATCAATCAAAAATACCATCAGTTTTATCCAGACTTTATCTTTAGGAGACTAAAACCACCTGGAACAGGAGAGTATTGCCCTCTCCTCTGCAGTTTTGTTCTGTGAGTATTTCAGAAGCCCCATCACGACCCACCACCCTCCAATTTGAGAGCCAGCTCTGAGAGATTCCCAGGGGTGCCACCATCACTCAAATCCTAGGCTCCCACACTGCTCACACCACACTCAGTTCACTCTCTGCAGAAGACGCTGCTATTCCACACTTAATGCTGCAACACCAAACTCAAACTGACAACTGATCTGAACTGGGGTCACTGGAGGTGAAGGGCTCAAGCTTAAAAGAGCAAAGCTTGCAAAGAAGCGGTATGCTGAATCCACAAGAAGACAGCATGGAAATATCTTTACTGATAGAAGAGGAAAAGCAATAAAACACGCTGTGAAGCACATTCTTATGCAGAGCAGTTCAGCTATTTCTTTTCCTGTATGATCTGGTAAATTCACACTGAAGCAGCCTGCCAAAAATTCCAAAACAAAGCTATGGAAAAGGAAGGATCACAGTCACTGATTCCCTCTCTGTGCCTTAAGTACTTTCTTCTTCCTGCTCAATCCCATCAATCAGTCCTCAGACAAGCAGGACTAAACAGAACTAAGAGCTGAAGAAAGCCAACCTGTTCTTGATGATTCTTTGCACAATTAAATCTGTGGTGAGATTGCTGCCACTGTCCACGAGCTGGAAAATGCCACGTCTCTTCGGTTCCTGTGAACAAACACAGCAGATTTGTCTTGCAAGGAACACACAGGACCTCCAATTTACAGCTCCATAAATGACAGTTGAGCAGAGGGTCTACAAGACCTTGTGGGTGCTCAGCCAGGCACAGCACAAGATGATCTCCTCGGATACAGACTGAATTATTGCCGGAAGCAAAACATAATGCACTCAGGGGCTGAGCGAGGGATTGGCACAGAGCAAAGATCACCAGGTTTCTCTCTCTGCCACGAAGGTATTGAAAACAGGCAGAACAGTGACTAAAAGAATGGGGCTGTTGTGGATGATACAAGGGGATGATTTCTGAGGGGTGGGTAAAAACAGCTGCCCAGGATGTGCTGGTAGCAACCACTGCCATTCACATCTCAGCCCAGGAGCATGAACAAAACCATACCTGTCACAGACCATGACAAAGAAGCACAGGCTGGGGTAGTTGGCACCTTACCTCATATGGATCAGAACCATCCTTGTCTGGAACCACCTCAGTCATCCCATGACACACAAGAGTTACCTAGAGAGAGGTACAAAGTCACTGACACCATCACACCCCTCCAGAAAGTGACAGTAACTCTGCCACTGCACTCACTAAGCAGAGGCAGGACATGAGGAATACCAACACCCAGAACCTGGAGGCTCAGCCTCCAGCCAGAGCTCCCCTAAACACACTGAGCAGGACCCCACACTGCTCTGCTGCTCTCCAGTGCCATTTTAGCTCTCTATGCACATCGAAACCCAACATCTTTGTGTACGTCCATACACAACGACTCACCTTGAAGTGATCCAGCAGATCAGCAGTGACAGCATAGGGGGCTCCAATCACCACTTCTGAAACATACTACAAAAAAGATCAAGAGTTTGGATTATTATTAGAGTTGTTTGTTTGTTTTTAAACAAAACAAAGCACTCGAGCAGGTTATCTGGTTATAGAGTTATGAGCCCAAGCAGAAGGTGAGTTCAGCAGCCACTACTTGTCACACAGCATCTTTTTGTTCCACTAAGGACAATTTTTTCTGGCAGGCTTTATACAGCAAATCCCCATATTAACTGCTCACAGCACACATTTCTGGCCCCCTCTATGTTTCTTTCCGAGGAAGTTTCTTCCTTGCTGCAGAAAGGAGATGGTTTTCTGCAATAATGCAGATGTCTCTGCATAGAGCAGAGCAGCACTCTGCCTTTTCACTGCTGGTGGAAGATGTGGATGGATTCACTGACTCACGTTAGTTGGGATGACAGCTAAGCCAAGTGACTCCCCTTGGGAGCACAGCTCTGGTAGCCAGAAGCAATCAGTTCCTGTCTTTGCTTTCTCAGCACATTCTAAAGAATTCATGCAGGACTGTTAGCTGAAGAATGTCATCTCAGCAACTTCTGGAACAGCACAAAGGGACCGAGCTGTAGCACTTACCCTACAGGCCAAGACACTGAGTGTTCTCTCGTGGATGTTCATGATGGGATAATTCTTCCCTTTGTAACGATTTACTTCCTAAGGTAAAACACCAGTCAAAATTAGAAGGAACACAACCTGAACTTCTTCCTTTTCACTCTCTCCTAATACAAACATTCTGTACCAGCCAATACAACCCTTCCCTGTCTCCCGGAGCACAGCCTGCTTCTTTCAGAAGGAACAGCAGCCAAGCTGTTCTGCCTTTGAACATTACAAACCTGGTCAAAGTGCAGCCCAGCAATGATGTAGGGTCTCTCTGCCAGCTGGTGAACCTTTTCCAGGAAATCTACATGCCCAATATCTGGAGAACTATTTAAGGAAGCTCACACAGAAAATGGGGAAAGGAAGCCAGAAACAGGTGCATTAGGAAACCACAGCAGAACATATTAATCCCAAGGGGTTTATTTCCCCATTGCTTTTTGTCTTTGAACTACTAACATTTGCCTGCTTCCCCCCTGGCTCTCAGGTTCTGGGCAAAAGCCAGCCATCTTTCCAGCTCTACCTTACATGGACACAACTTTGCCTCCATCCAGAGTTTCTACCCATTTGGGGCATTCCAGCAAAATGCCTCCAACACTGTCCCAAGGCTGAAGTGTCTGCTCTACACGCCTTGTGCATTCTAACAGCTGTCATTTGGTCTAAGACAGCCAGACCTCAAGATATCCTGTTCTGGTGCCTTAAATACAAGAACATCAAACAGATCAACACCATTTTCCTGACAAAACAGAGTCAAGGATACGGAACAGGTCAAAGGCTCCAGCCACGTAGATGATAGTGTCTCCTGGCTGTGGTTCCTTCCCTGATGCAAACTGGATGATCTTCTGGGATGTCTGCAGGAACTGCGAGACACCGGTCCAAGGACTGTGACCTTTTGGTCCCTAGGAAAACACACATCATACGTGCTTCCTTTTCAGGCTCCAGGAGGGGATTTGGGAAAAAAAACAAAACACAGCACCAGAATACAGCAGCAGGCATGATTGTGTCTTAATTCACAAGCAAACATCACAGCTCTTAGCTTGCACTGTCCGCGTTCCCAGCACCAGATGTTTGTGTGATCTCCCCAAAGCCCCTTTCTCTGTCAAACCCAGCATAAATCATCCCCTCAACAGCCAGCTAAGGAGATGCTGAGAGGAAAGCTTAGGAAGGAGGAAGGCAACAGGGCAGACCAGGACTTCAGGAGAGGCAGGGTTACTGACAGAACAGGTGCACAACACACAAACTACCAAAATCCTTTTATGCAAAAGCTCTTTTCAAGCTGTAGGGCAGCCTACCCATTTACCTGGCAGGGCAGTATGCTAAGTAGGAGGGGAACCACCTCTGCTCCAGCAGCCAGAGCCCAGACACAGCGAAACCAAAAGGTGGAGGCTGAGCCCCACTATGAAGCACTTCTGGTCGCTGGCCCTGGCCTCTGCTTTGCTTTGCTCCCCTAATGTGAACAGCTCTAAAAGCCTTGAAAGAACAAACACAGTTCAGCCAAGACCAGGGCAAGCCACATAAACAACAGTATGCAGAAGGTGGTATACTTCTGGCAGGGGTCATGCAGAGTGCTTAGAGTCCAGACATGTTTCTCTAAATCCAAGAACCAGGAAACAGCTAACGTACAGCAACAGGCTCCCAAAAGCCTGCTTAAAACAGGTAACATGATGGAGAACAATTCAGCATGGTCAGCAAAACCCCAACAAGCAGAAAACCTGCTCAGGCTTTAGGCACAGGTGGTTGTTAATGAGGAACAACATAACAGTCAAGGAAAAAAAAAAAAAAAAAGGGCAAAAAAAGACAGAGAGCTCTTCAGAAGTAGCCCAGGGTATGAGCTGAACATGACAGCAGAGAGCCCCAGCAGGAACACTCTGCTACTTCAGACCAGGCTGCATGGAATGCTAACTATGTGCTGCTACATAAATCCTTCCCAGACCTAAGGTAACACCTGTAAAAACATAAGTACTAAAAGGAGAATCCACAGAACCTGTCCCTCTGCTGGAACTCTGGGCACCTGCATCACAAAGGAAGTGGCAGTAAAGACTTTACAAGCAAGCCAGCCAAACAGCAAAGCCTCAACAGGTGGAGCTCTGTGGTGCCACTAAACATCATTCATTCACAACAGCAGTACTGCAGAGCTTGTGCAGCCACACCTGCCTATCTCACTGGCTACAGCAGCTACTTTATGGGGGTGGCAGAGATTTACTGAGGTTACTAATAAACGCAGAGGAAAAACCAAGCCTGCAATACAGGCCAAAAAGCACATTTGGAATCCTTCTCAGACAGGCCAACAACCAGATGTCTCAGACCAGAACTCACATTACCTTCCCAAAGTTGTCAGTGTGCTTCCGATAGTCTAGGTCCTCATCCTGAAGGGAGATAAAGAATCAAAATGTTGAAGCACTCACACAGCTCATCCAATCAAAAATACGCTTGTGTGTGGCAGAAGTGCTGGGAAGTCCACACTCAGACTGTGTATCGTTGATCTCTGCCACTAAATACTAACAAAGGAGTTAATATCTAAACCAGGGTCGTGTCCCAGCATGAGTCAGATGAAACTTCCTTATCTGACCTCAGCCTGGCATCACACAGCGACAGCGGTTCTTGCTCAACCTGCACAGCTGGATAACATTGCACACCTGTGTCTTCTCTTGGCTATGCAAGGCCCTAGCAGGACTGTGTCCCTTCTTTTCCAAAGCCACTCCACCAGGGATGGGCTCAGATGTCTGCACAGATAGCAATGTTGTGTCACATCGTGGTGTGAAGTTGCATTATTACAGCTAAGCCAATCTAACAGCTCAGCACACTAAAAGAAAGACCTTCCTCTACCTCTAAATTCTCGTTCCCATGTTGTCTCCTCCCTTCTGTTTCTCAGTGAATCCATTCAGTGCCTTGCTCATTTACTGAGTCTATTCGTCAACCTACAAAACACTGCTTCCTCGTTTTTGCTTTGGTTACGTTTGCCATCTACCAGGTAGTGAGCTGAGGAGACTCAAGAAAGGTCTGATAAGATTCAGAGACAGCAAAAGGCAGAAGCGTGCAGCTCAGTGAGAAGGAAGAACTTCCAATTCTGGCAGCACTGAGCTGTTAGATCAATGTGGCTGCACTCTGTAACTCCACAATCACAGAAGCCATAGGCTAGCCAGCATTTTCATTCCTGAAGCTCACGCCAATCAAGAGAGAATCAAAGTTTTATTTCCATACACGTTTCCAAAGCACCACGGGCTGTGATTTCAGGCAGGCTTAAGAAAATACAAAGAGAGTTTTGCCCACAGCCAGCTTGCCGGTTCTCCATGGATATGGGAGCCAGGCCCAGGAGCTCCACTGCCATTTTGGAGCAGTGGAAGGCAAGAGCCGACATATGCCCTGGACTCCAAACTCCCACCCAAAGCCCTGTGACTCACTATGTTGCTGTGGTGAGCCTTAGTCATGAGCAGCATGCGGCCAACGAGGTCGGTAGTGGACACACCTTGAGTGCGTTTGCATTCCCTGCAGGGAGATAAGCAAAGGATAAAGCAGATGCCACAGAAGCACGTGTCTCTTTTTCTCACTACTGTTACACCTGTGAAATCTGATCTATCCAAACCAGCAATCGTCCTGAGGGACATCTTCCTACTCTTGATATAAGGGACACCACTCATCTGCTGGGCCTCCGCAGCAATCGGTGACATGAGGAAAACCTACCTGGCACAGACTTCCCAGCAGAGCTAACCCCCAGAGCTGACCAAGAACAGCTGCTGGACTGCATCACCTTCTGGAAGCCAAAATGGCTGAAGCAATCAAAGCTCTGACACGCCTCACAGCAAAGCTGAAGCGCGACCTGAAGACAGCTGTCTTCATCTGAGCTCCCTCCAGGATGGGAACTCCCAGAAACTGCCCAGCTCAGGGTAAGAAGCTACACAGCAGTACCTGTATCGCCCGGCTGTCTTCACTTCCTCGTAGGTGTCCTTGCCATCTATCGTTAAGGTGATGTCATCTGCAGAAAGAGGAAAGCCTCAGAGCTGTGCTCCAAACCTCCCTGCACAGCAGCTACGTTAGAATTGTGCAGCCTGCATCACAGCACATGGGGTACGTCCCACACCTCCACCGAAATGTAATGGGCTTGAAAGATAAATCTGCCTGTAGGGACAAGCATGCTCCCAGTGCTAAAGCCTCCAAGCAATCTGGCCTGTTGTTCATTAGATACCCCAGGAAACAAGAGCTCATTGCCCTGCGAGCAAATCCAACCACAGGCATGACTGAATTGTTCTGTGGGTAACAACAAACAGCCACCATCAGTCTGTGCTAAAAGCACCTGAACTGACTTCCCCTGAACTGACTTCCCCAGCACTGTGCTGAAGTGTTAGTTCACATTACAGCTCTTCCCCAGTCAGTTAAACAGCGCATCATTGCTCGGTCCCTCACTGATGGCACTTCTACAAAGATATTAATATATCCCTTCAACTCCTCCAGAATCAACTCTAGTTCAGCTTTGGCATGGGTCCCAACTCGTTCTACAGAAACCACTTCTCTCCTCCTTTTAATGACAGTTTAAAGACTTAACAAGTGAAAACCTACGCTGGCTTCATTCAGCCTAATCCCTTGTTTACAGCACAGGTAACTCCTGTCTTCCTTACACAACTGCAGTGGCACACGCAAGAAAGCTCTCCTAAAACCCCTCTCCCTCCCCTTGGGGCACAGGGACAGAACTGAGCACTGTGCCAGGAGAGAGGAAGAAGCAGCAGGTTTGCTGTCTGCCACTTTCCCATGCTAAGCCCAGCTATTTCAAAACTTATCTTCTGCAGAACCACAGCCCGGCCAGAACGCAGCATCCATGAATGTTATCCAGCTGGAAGGACAGAAAGATTGGCAGAAGGGATCAAAGCAGTGAATCTGGAGCAAAGGCCACCGGCACTCCTCTGTTCTGCTAATCCCTCACCAGGCCTAGCAAAGGGTCACGAACACCAAATGCACTTTCAGGACAGGCAATTAAGTTAACAAGGAATGCATCTTGTCCACGTGGAAAAAAAAACGTATCTATCTTATCGAAGATTAACAATTTATTTGCGTTTAATGAAATGCTTGCCTTATCAATAGGAGGTTGCTGGGATCAAATGAGGAAGGATAAAGAGAAAGAGTGCAAAGATTGTGCCCGATTAAATTAACAAAATACCTTTGGAAGGGTAGGGAGGAGGGGCTGATACTGAACAAGCATGAATAGTCCAAGGAAGGGACAGAGTACAAAAGCAGGAATGTTTCCCCAGAACACTGCCTCTCTTCACTGACTGTATGCTGAGAAATGTTCCTAAGCAGAACGAGGTCTGACCACGGTCAGCTAAGAGCTTTAGGAGCTTATCAGCTAGATCAAGAGACCGAAGCTTTTCAGATCTGATCTCATCTCAGGATAAGCAGACATAAATGACTCTGGTTTTGCACACCTAACCTTATAACAGCGTTTTTCACATTTAGATGGTGTAAACATGTATTCATTTCACGCACAGCTCTTGCTTGTTTTAAGGGTAATCTCAGGACAACTGTCAGTGCGTTTCATCTTCGGAAGTGAAACGGGTGCTTAAAGCCAAGGAATCACAGTGCTGCCCCAACACCCATGAACCCATTTCTCCAGAATCCCTGAATGGGAGCACCTGCACCGACCAGCACAGGCACTGTCACAGTCTGTACGCACGAGTTAACTTTCACATGAGTCACACAGCTCTTTGCTTTGCAGCCAGAAAACCAAGAGCACGCGAGCCCTACGGGGCCCTTCTTCGTACCAATCCACCTCAGAGCATCACTCACCACCGTGCACACAGAAATCGCAGTTATATTTGTCCAAGGTTTCCAGTGTGGTGACATAAGGAGCCCCAGGCGCAATCTCATCCACCCACTTGATGGCTTGCACCATCTTGTACCTCTCCTCCTGCGTGAAGACGGGGGGGCCCTTATGTTTGGCAATCTCCTCTGGGTGAGAGAGAGAGAGAAAACCCAGTTAGAAGTACAGACTGCAGCAAGAGAGCTTGAGGGGCGTTTATGACATGCAAGGAAGGCCCAGTGAGTTCAGGAATTTTTATTCCATCACGTTTGTAAGCGTGGTAAACGTGTGGTAAAGGCGTTGGGGTTCCCTCTATAGGCACAGTGTGTTGGTGACTCCTCACACCCAAAAACTGCTTCCCAAGGGCACTGCCCGGCCCCGCAGCCCCCAGCAGGTCTGAACAACGGCTTCACGCTGCGCTGCGAGCCGCATCCATAAACCGACCGCAGATCCGCGCTCAGAAGCGGGAATTCATTCCGAGCGCTTCACTCTCATGTAGGTTCGAGTTTCTCAGTCCGTGCGCACGCAGCACCGGGCAGAACGGATCGCAGCTCCAAGAGCGGCGAGCGCAGCTCAGCAAAGCGCAGAACGGCACCGCCGCTCCCGGCGTAACGGGTGTAACGGCCGTCCGGTGACACCGAGAGGCGCAAAGCCGAGCGACGTCTTACCGTCCGTGTGCACTCCCACGATCAGATAATCGCCCATGGCCCGCGCCTGGCGCAGCTGGTTGGAGTGGCCGTAGTGCACCATGTCGTAGCTGCAAAGACAAAGGCTCTCAGCGCCGGGCTCAGGGGCTGCGCACGGCGACCGTCCTCCGGCTTCGCTCGGCGGTTCCAAGTCTCCCTGCCGCCCATCGCGGCGCCGCGATTAACGCCATCGCCGTCGGTTCCCGGTGCGGCGCCCCGCCGCCACCCGCCCGCACGGCGCCCACCGCCCGCACGGCGCTCCGGGCCGCGGCTGTCACGGGGACGGCCGGCAACGCGGCCCCCGCCGCGCAGCCCCTCCCGCCCGCCCCCCCCCCCCGGCGGCGCTGACAGAGGAGCGGAGGCGCGGCGCAGCCGACTCGCTTTATTCCCGCCCGCACTCACCAGCCGTCGCACCAGACGCGCACGGGCCGCTGTGCCGCCGCGCCGCCCCCCGCCGCCCCGTTGCGCAGCATGGCCGCGCTGTCACCGGCGGCGCCGCCGCCGCCGAGCGGGACCTCCCGCCCGCCCCGCCCCGCGCCCGCCCCCGCCGCCATCTTGGGGCGCGTCACACCGGCGGTCGGGGCGAGCCGACGCCCCGCGCTCCGTTTCGCCCCGCCCCGCCCCCGCCGTCAGTTGCTCTTCCTGCGCCGGGTGCCCTTGGCGCAGCCGCGGCCCAACCAGCCGCCGGGCCGGGCCGGGGGTTCGTTCCGCGGTGCCGCGGTCGGCTCGGCGCCCTGCGGCGGGGCCACCGGCTTCCGGGAGTGCGTGCCCTCCTCGTCGGGGCGCAGCGGCTCGGCCAGCGCGAAGATGGGGTCCCGCGCCCTGCGGAGAGGAGGAGGTGAGGGCGGGGGGCTCGCGGCGGCCGTTCCGCCCCGCCCCGCAGCGCTCCCCGCCCGCTCACCGGTCGTAGCCGGGGATCTGCAGGCCCAGCTCCTCCATCAGCAGCCGCATGACGTCGTCGCAGCGGCCGTGCAGCTTTAGGGCAGCCAGGTCGTCCTTGGGCGTCCACTGCGAGGCGACAGCGGGACACGTGCTGCAGCACCCGCTGCGAGGGGCTTCACCCAACCTCCCAGCCCGGCACCGGGAAGGCGCTCACCTGGAGGTTCACGATGTACAGCTTCGGACGACGAGGTGGAGGTTTGCTCATGCACCAAAGCCGGGGGTATTTTTTCAAAACCTGCCATAAAACAGAAATGATCAGCACAGCCAAAGGCACACGTAACCGTGAACCATATCAGCGAGAGGAAAAGGAATGTATTACCAGGAAGGGAAAGAGGGAGGAAGAGAGACTATCACACAGATGGTGGGCGAATCCTGACACCAGAGTTTACAGTTGTCTGTTTGGGAGGAGACTGCTCAGCACCAAGGTGTATCACCAAGAGGGAATGCTGCTAACAATCTTCACCGAGTCTCTAAAGTTACCTTTAAGCTGGAACCCAGACAAAGAATCACATCTGCTTTGCTTGCAGCTTCTGTTGCTGCTTCCCAGTTCAGGGGCTGTGTCAGTGTCCCCTTCTCCCCAAAGTGGACGATTGTATCTCTCAACTGTGCCCCGCACTTGTGGCACATCCTGCCAGTGTGATGCTTGTGCAGGGCCGTGCGTTCTGTCACATCAAACACTCGCACATACTCTCTGTTGGGTGTACATGAAGTGCAGACCTATAGCACAGGAAGAAAAAATGTTGTATTGTCAACGTCTGGTCCATTTGATACAAGGGATGCAGCCACACCTCAGAGAAAAGCACCTTTTGGGGACAACAAACCTGGAAGCAGTAGAAGGAATCATCTGTGTTTAGGTGCTAACTTGGAAGCATTCAGAAACATTCAACAAGTGAGTGGCATTACAAGGGGCAGGCTGGCTGGGCAATAGGAGGGGTTTTCAGGCAACGCCTGAAGAATAGCATTCAGAAGCAGAAGGCTCTAGCAAATATAGAGATAAAACTGCCAGGTTGTACAGAAAACTTAATTGTGGGGTTTGCTAACTAGTTCACCAAAAAACTGGCAAACTAAAGATGTGAACTAAGCTGAGAGTAGTCCTTGTACTAATTCTTGAGTCAGGGAGGGAGAAACAGTTAACATTATCTTTTTTGTGAGGCCAGTACTGACAGTACCTTTGTCCCTTTCTAGCTGCTCACCTCTATGTACATGTTTCCATGAAGCTCAGATATTGCTGATCGAGGTAACCCACTTCGCAGGTGCAGCCCATCACAGTTTTGAGATACCACATGCTGCACCTGGAAGAGAACAAAACACTGAAATAACACACACAGAGAAGACTCTGAAAGCATGATTCCAATGCAGGTAACATGTACGTCTCAATGTGCAATAAAAAGTTCTGCTTCAATATACTGAGCTAACAGAAGAAAAGCAGAGAGAGTAGAACTCTGTGAAAACTAAACAGAGAGATTCCTGCTAAATACAGCTCTGTTAGGCCTGGCAGACTTTGTGGCCATGTCCCCAGATCAAAGCCTCACCAGGAGGCAAACATAAGCTATTAAAAAAAGGCACAAGGGAAAAAAACTGCTGGAGCCACAGTCTGGACATGGCCTGATGAAGGCTCAGCTATACTGAAACACAGACAATTGTTCCTACACAGATGTAGCCACCTCACTAAGAACAACAGTTATGCAGTACTGTGAAAAATATCTTTTTTCCTGATTTCTTATATTGTGACAGTGGAGCACAAGTCATGTACAGAAAAAGAAACTTACCAGGTTATGCTTGTGCAGGCAAGCAATGCTCATATGGGTGAGCGTGGGCTCTGCCTCACTCAGATCTGTAGCACTGACAAGAGACAAAAAAAAATTTTTTTAAAGTAAGAAATTACCATTAACACTCTCTTTCAGTATCAGCTGTCTGCTGGGCAGCTCAGAATTCATCTCCTGAGTAGCTGCAGAACTGTCCTTCCAGGAAAGAGAAAGGAAAAGTTCACTACAGTCACCTTACCTGATGCTCCTGCCCTTCTGCAGCAATGTCCAAATGCCATTGGGGCCTCGGTAGTCTGGGATCGAAGCTGCCTGTGTTGTGAAGAGAGACAAAACATGGCCTGACGGGAAAGTTCCTACCTCTCGTCCACCAACACATCAACCTGGCCTCACCCAGGACAGCGAGATACTGCATTCACTGCTGCTTTTTCATTCACTCAAAGTTTTCTAGTGTTTTCCTAATTACAGAGAGCTCTTTTCCTACCTTGCACTTCTCATTTTTACCTCCAGTATTTATTTTCTCCAATTATACAACTATTAAATCCCTCCAGAACACTCTTCTCCCCTAGGAACTTCCCATTTCCCCAGACAGAACCCAGTTCTTGAACCTTTAATTATTTACACTCTACTGATTTCTGGTAGCTGTACTCAGTGTTCTTTAAAAAAAGTGTCTATGACATTAACACTTTTTTGTGCACTCTGCCCAGCTCCATGTTCCCTATCAGGTGAGACTGCAGAAAAGGGGAAGAACAATAAGGTTCCCATCTCAGAGTTCAGACAAAAGTGACTAATGTGACACGCGAAGAGGCAGCTCCAGATTTCCATTCTCATAAGAGGCCACAGAAACCATTTTTAAACCATCATTTTTAACTTCCAGTAAGCACTCGTTATTTCTAAATCGTTTATTAATGCCGATTCATTAAGCAGCTATAACTTCTTTTAGGTTTTGCAGCAAAAGTAGCTGAAGAGACTCAGTTGAAGACAGACTACTGATCTTATTTTAGAAGCTCATTCTTTGCATAGAGGTAATGCAACCTCAGAATCTCTTGACCAGCAGGAATATCCCAAGATGCAAATTAGTTAACATCTTGGTCATGGTTTGTAGTTCAACAGTGTTAATATAGAATTCCAGATATCCTCTGGGCAGCCTGGTCTGGTGGTTGGTGACCCTGCAAATAGCAGGAGGGGTGAAACTAGATGATCATCGTGGTCCTTTTCAACCCAGGCCATTCTATGATTCTGGGATATCCCATGGTCACTTGGAATCCACAAAAAACAGAATTCAAACATTGCAACACTCCTGAAGGAGCTCCCAAAGCTCCAGCCACTCACCCCCAAAGAATCCTACCGTACTGATCCCTGCTCCTGTGTAGATGACAAGGTGCTTGGCGTTCCGGATAGCAGCAGCCAGCTCAACAACCTTTCTCTTTAGCTCCTCTGGCTCATCACATACCTAGGAAATGCAAATGGGCAGTTTCAGCATGTCACTGAGCCTGAAGGAACAGAGAGCTCCTTGGACATTTTGATATGGGTCCATCCTAGGCAGGGACCCATCAGACGAATATTATCAGAAGGAATATTATCAGAAGGTCTCCTAACTAGAAAAATGTGGGCGTTTGCCGTCTGTATTATCTATGAAGGACCAAGGGAAGAAGGTTTCTGGATAGCAGCACACGCAGATAAGCCCTCCCAGGGGGCACGCCCACTCAAAAAACCAAACGCATTTCGGAAGAGGTTGGCAACTGCAAGAAGCAAGGCCGGTGCAGGGAGATCGGCCGAGGACCGGCGCAGCAGGGCGCGGCCCCGAGGGACGGGGGCAGTCCTGGGAAGGCGGTACCGTCAGTTCTGCCGTCACAGCCGCACAACTGCCCCCGCAGCGGGAGCTCAGCGCCCGCGGCACCGCGGAGCGCAAAGCCCCTCCCTGCGGCCGCGGCCCCCGCACCACCGGCGCGCGGCGGCTCCGACGCGGCCCTGGAGCCGCACCCATCGGGCCCGGCCCGCCCCCGCCCGGCGCCCACCTCCTCCTGCCGCCGACGCAGCCGCTCGCGCCTCTTGCGGCGCCTCTCCAGCTCCCGGACGATGTCCTCGCTCTCGCTCAGCACCTGACACTCCTCGGGGCTCCGTTCCGCCGGCGGCTTCCTCCAGATGCGGGAAACCTGCCCGGCACACGCAGCGCGTTACGGCGGCCCGGCCGCGCGGGCGGGCTGAGGAGCGCGGCGCCGTACCTGTCTCCGCCGGTCCCGCTGCTCCTCCTGCTGAAGGATCTCGGCGCGCGCCGCCGCCTTCCGCTCCGAGCGGCTGAGGCTGCCGCCGGCCGCCATCGCCCCGGAAGCGCCCCGCTTCCGCTATCGGACGCCGGACGCGCGAAGCCGCTTCCTCTCGGACGGCGCGGCCGAGCGCCGCTTCCGGCCCCTCCCGCCCCGCGGCGCGGAGCAGCGCCCCCTCGCGCGGCGGCGGACCGCGCCGCAAAGGAAGCGCCAGGCCGTGGTGTTTGAAAGCTGTTTATTGTCATGTACAAAACAACGGCGGCCGCGCCGGCAGACGAACACTATGTACAGCAATAAATAACGCCCGCCGTCGCCGCGCGGGGCAATAACTTAGCAATAAATACCGCCTCCCGCCCGCCAACCGCGGCCTCGCTGCACCCCTTCCCCACGACAGCGGACGGGCCCGGGGCCGGGCCGGGTCCGGCAGCGCCCCGGTCCGCAGCGCGGCGGATCCCGGCGGAGCCCCGCGGCCCCTCGGGCGGTGCTCGTCTGAGGGCGGCGCCCCGCCGGGCCGGGAAGGGCGGCGCGGTGGCTCCGACCTCGGGCCCTCCCCGCCCCGCTCCCCCGGGACAGCGCTGCCCGCCGGCGCCGCACGACGCGGGAGTCACTCGACACGATTCACCACACGATACACAAAGCCCCGCCCGGCCGGGCCGCTGCAGGGGACACACTTCATGGTTCCTTTGAGGGCGGCTGGGGCCGGGCCCCGCCTCCCAACCACTGCATCAAAAATGTACCGGGAAAGGAGAAAGAAAACACAACACCCTTCACAGCAGGAAACCGAACGGACGAGCACCTCAGGAACAAGAACTGCCACACTCCAGAACGCTATATACGAGAGAGAGAGAGAGCAGAGCGATGGGCTCGGGGCACGGCCGCCTCACGCAGGCATCGGGTGCCGGGTGGTGAGGACTGCGTGCCCTGAACGCGACGGGAGATTCTTCAGACACCGCAGAAATACATTACTCGGATTCCAATACTTCACTGAGAACAAAACCAAAAACACCACGCCAGTACGGGGAAGCAGCACCCGCAAAGAGGAGCACATCCCCTCCAGCAGCTCTAGGATGGAGCCAGACAGAGCGCTTTGTGAGCGGGGAACCATCTCAGCTGCAGAGCTGGTTCACCACACGGGTGCCCTACGGCAGCAGCTTTGTGCCCACACGTCCCTAAAGAGATGTGTCCTCACCGAATGCATTCAGCCACTCAAAGCAAGCTGGGACCACGAGCTAGCAAGCACAGCGCAGAGGAGGAGAAATGACAGCATTCATGGCTGCTGGAGTCAGCGCTGATGCCTGTTCTGTCCTCCTCACTTGCTCCAGGGAAGCACAGACTCTTACTGGCAGCAGCAACTGCCGTCCAGCAGGCAGAGAAGGATCAGGTGCAGAATACAATGGAAACGAGTTTGCCAGGGCTGTGGGACTGCCTGTCATTGCCTGCTCTGTTGATGGAGCCCTCCTCACAACAATCTCCAGCAAATGGAGACAGTTTTGCACACAAAACCTTGTCTGCTTGCTCTGCAGAGGTCAGGCCTCCAGCTGGGAGGCCCTCCTGCCAGGTTCTCAGGGTTCCAGGAGAAACAGGGTTGGGTTTTACAGCCTGAGCCATCCAGAGGACTCTGTGTCATGTCTCATCTCCTCCTCACACCACCCAGCAGCTGGAAGACAAAGGCTCGAGCCTACAAGTCTGTGTAAAGTGTTGCACAGCAAGTAGCCCATCCGGTGCATGGTAAGGAAGCAGAACAACAAACACCTCAGTTCAGAGAGGAGAAAACCCATGAGCTGGATGGGGGAAGCCTGGAGGTGATGTTCTAACCTACTCCTTATCCACAAAGCTCACAAGGAAAAGCATTCCAAACAGCTTCTCCCTTAGTCTGCAATTAATCAGTGCAAAGCTGATCTCCTCTTTCAACAAGAAATCCCATCAGCTCCTCTCCTGCTGTGCTACAGCTTTCATTAGATGTACCTGCTTTTCAGCCCAGAGAACAGAATCAGTTCAGCTACATAAGAAACTCATTACCAAAACACACCTAGTATAGCAAACCACACTTCACTTGTGCCATCCTTATCTGTCTCCTGTGCTCAGGTGATTTTCGACACCCAAAAGATCAAATGGACTTCATCCCCATGCCCTGCTTCTCCAAAACAACTCAGTAATCAAATCGAGTCTTTCAGGAGGTGAGGGCAGGGAGGTCTGTCCTAGTGTGAACATGGAGCCTGACCACAAATTGTTTTTCAGCTGTGTCACACAGCTGTAAGTTTAAGTACCTTTACCAATACCTACAGCCAGAAGCTGCACCAGGAAAAAAAAAGTAACCAAGACACTGCTCACTTTAGTATGCTGATGCTCAGCACAAGAGGCTGCAGCTTCAGGACAAGTGCAGGTCCTGCACCGCCCAAAACGCTGTCAGCCCTGCCTCTCATCAGAGGAGCCATGAGCACAGCGTGAGCTCTGACCACAGGATCCACATCCAGCTCCATCTTCAATCCCCTCAGTCTCCTTCTGAACTTATATAGCTCTCCCTTGTGTTACTTCTCAGCCAGAGGAGAGCAGTTCCAATGGGAACGCATCCCCCATGCAGGTAACTCCGAGGTCAGCACTGGCTGGGCAGTGAGAGGCCTGAGCTGCTTGTGCAGAAGCAACAGTTGCAACACCCAGAGAGAAGCAGACTTCCTGCAAAGCCCCTCTGCAGAGCAGCGTTTTCAGGGCAGGCATCACTCCTCAGCGGCATCAGCCATTCATTTTCACCTCTAACAAAAACAGCAACTTTGCCTGTGTGCCAGAATCCTCCTGGAGAATTCGGAGAGATTCCAAGCGAACCTCTCGCTCGAGCTCAGGGAAAACAACAGAAGCATGAGAACGACAGCACATGGCAAAGGCAGCCACTGACAGCACCACAGCACAGCGCCACGCGGAGCTCGGAGAGCACAGAGAGCGCAACACGAGGGGACACAACGGAGCCAGCAAGATCGAGAATAAGTCACTTTTGGTACAATTGCAAAAAGATATCAAACAGGACTTGCCTCTTTTTTTGTCTTTTTTTTTCTTTTTCTAAGTTTTATAAATAAAGTCTGATAACTCTTTATAAAAACTAACCTCGGAGCCACAAACAGTTTGCGGGAGGTTCATGAGAAACTTTAAAATTATTTATTTATTAACTTCTAACTAGCAAAGTCTCCGAGAATATTTCCCCATTTCTATGGCCAAATATTCTCGCCCTCTCGGATAAAAAAAGCTGACTATAAATACGCTCTCTCTTCTGTCTGATTTTCATTTTAAACTTAGATAATTTAATAACTCTTAAAACGATGTTTCTCTTTAAATAAAAGGGCTATTTAACCACATAAACTGGTCGTGTAAACCATCACACTAGAGACACTTGATACCCTCAAAACACGGGAACAACTAGTGATTTTGGTCTTGTTCAGTGCAACACATTAGGCACAAAACCGGCCTGCAGTCAGCAAGGTACCTCCCCCCCCCCCCCCCAGATGCTGGGCCCCCACGCAGACCCCATCCCATCCCCCTCCCCTCAGCTGGGGTAGAGGCAGTGGGACACACCAGCATCTTCCCATCCACCGCCGCTATCCGCACTCTACTGCAATGGAAGCCTGAAGGAAACTCACTGCTTGGGCACAGAGGCGCACCTAGAAATGAATACCACATCTATTACACAGAACACCCCAGCTGCAACTACAGGTACCGGATGAGACAAAAGCAGCAGGCTCAGATGCCGGGCAGTCGGGCACCTGGATACACCACCTGGAAGAGTAATGAAATAAAGCCTTTGGAAGTGACTGAAAACTGGGGTTCCAGGAAGAAAGCCTCCCTCCAGGCCTCTCGCTGCGCAGCACAGACTTCCTTTGGCTAGAACACCGAGATCTTACAGCCTGTCCCAAGGGCAGCTGAGGGCTACAGACCGCTGGGTGGGAGGTGCTGTCTGCACAGGACAAGGGATGCATCACCACTGCTCATACCAATCTGAACACAACAAAACAAAACCAGAGCGATCAGCAGGCCAGTCCTGGGCCAAGTAGAAGGAACCCTGACCCGTGTAGGGAGGGTTTGTGCTTTGGGGATTCCAGGCTGGTTTTGTGCCTAATTGCCCTGCACAGACAAGCTCAGGCAACACTCGCTTCACTAAGACCGGGCGTCCGTTTTGGATTTCACTATTGTGATGACACTAGTGGTAGCGACCTTGCCAGGGACGAGGGGCCCCATGCTGGAGGTGAGAGGGCCCCGCACGGGGGTGACAGGGCTCCGGGCCACGGTTCTGGCGAAGTTCTGGAGTGCCTCATATTTGGAGCGGAGAGCATCGAGTTCCATTTTCATGCTGGCGTTCTCAGAGGCCAGCTTCTCCACCTCCTGCTGCAGCTCTGCCTTCTGCTTCTCCAGTTCCTCCTTCTGGGTAACGCGCTTGACCCTGCAGCTGGCCGCGTAGCCTCGGTTCTTCAGCGTGCGCCGACGCTGCTTCAGCTGGATGATCTCCTCCTTGGACAGGCCCCGCAGATGCTGGTTCAGCTCCCGCACAGACATGGTCACCAGCTCCTCATCTGTCAGGCTGGTCCCATTCTCGCCTGGCTCCCGCTTCACCTGTGAGAAGAGAAGGCGGTGTGCAGTCTGAAGCCTCGAGCAGCCGCCCGCACCCCCCGTCCTCCACCTGCTGCTTTACCTTCAAGGCCTTGTTTCCTTTGTTGGGGGTCGTCATAACACGGCAGCCACGTCAGTCAGGCTCTGGAAGGGAAGGAGGTCAGGTTAGTTCCTGGGTTAGTTCTCAGCAGTGCCAGAGCCGCTGCGTGGAGCCCCGCAGCAACACCCCGTGCTGGGGCACTCCCACTGCCCTCCCCAGGCAGCGCTCAACCCGACTGCATCGGACTCACAGCACAGCAACAGATTCTGTCCCTGAGCAGAAACTGCTGCCTTTCCACAGCCCTCCGGCCACGGAGACTTGTAGCAATGCTGTTTTTTGTTTGGGGTGTGTGTGTGTGGGGGGGGAAATTAAAAAACTAGGAGGAGCCAGAATACACGGAAGCCACATTTTTAAAAATAGCCTGGCAGCAGCAGCCAGGTCCGGAGCACGCCTGCTCAGGGCCAGTCACGCTGACTCAGCATGCCAGCAGCCCGCGCCTCTGCTCCCAGCTGCATCCTCACAGCCCCTGAGCACAGCACAGCCCCACACACCCGCTGCCCAGCACAGCCAGAGCTGCCCAGAGCGAGTCCTGCCAGACCCATGATGCTCCCAAGGACACAGCCTGGCACGGTCCAGGAGCACATCACTGGCAATGAGTAGAAGGGACAGCTTTACCTGCACGGTGCACCTGCTAGGTGCTGAACACCGCTGCCACACTCATTCCTCTCCAAACTGTGGGTGCTAACCCAGCAATGCCAGCACAGCTGGGTTACAGTCTGAGTTCTGCATCCAACTCTTCCTGTGGGGAGGACAAGCAGCCCAAACCCATGGCTTGGTGCCAGGGCTCACAGGAATCCCATTGCCGATCTGAGAAAAACTCAGCAGCCCTCCCTGCTCCTGCCACCCAAAGCTGACCTGCAGCCATACACATTTCCCATTGAGGCAGTCCCTATCAGCCCCAGCAAAGCCAGGACAGCACCACCTTCTCCCTTCCTTATCTTCAGAGCTGAGAGATAAGAAAACAAAGACCAAGGGAGGCTGAAACCAGAGGGGAGCAGACTCCTTCACTGCCAGGGAGGACAGCATGCCAGATCAATAACAGCAGCTCCTGGGGCTGTCTTCATACAGAGGCATACCTGGGCTCCTGTCCCTATGCACCTCCTTCCCTCACACCTCAGGTCAGAATGTCACTGCACCCCAACAAACTGAATCCTCAGCAGCCACGTCCGTCCCACACAGCCAGGCGCTGCCTCCTGCAGCAAGGCTCTGCTCCGTGCAGGTGCAGTCTGCGAGCACCTTTGTACCTTCCGTGCCAGCCAACAGCAATTCTGTTCGCTGCTCTTTTGTTTGCTAGACGTAAGAGGCAGAGTTGCAGCCAAGACCCAGCTGTACAGTCAGCAAATACAGATTTTTGCTCCTCCAGCAGCTGCAGCTCAGGCTCCCGCAATGCGCCCGGCTCTGACTGCTAGAGGTGAGCGGGATCAGCGTTCTGCAGGACACGGAGCAGAGGAGCACAATTCAGATGTTCCCAAGGCCAGAGCCTGCCAGGAGGTGGCTATTTATACCCAGAGGACAATGTTCTTGCAGCACGATGTCTGTGACAACCTGACAGCACGGCCATAAGGGTCACTTTGCCACCAAGGGAGGTGGCTGCAGTGGGGGGAGCACACGCAGACTGCTGCCTCCTGAAATCAGTTCTGCACTTTCACATGCCATTATTTCTCTTTCTTTCCTCTGTTTCCTCCCCCCCCCCACACCCCAGCAAACAAAATGGCCGCTGGAAAAAGGGGCAGAAGGAAGAGAATATCGGGGGAGAGGCATAACACCAGCCCTGCAGAACCCTCTGACTGCACACTGGGGTCGGTATGGCTGCAGAAATGTGTGTCCCACAGGGCTGGATGATTCCCTGCTCCTGGGAAATACTCAAACTTCCTTCATGACAGCAGAGCTGAAGAAATAAACACTGTATCAGGCCGGGCACAGGTAGGGCTCCTCAGGGAGCAGAGCAGGGCAGGGAGCTCACACAGCCCTGACCTCAGAATCCGTGCTCACTCTGCACCTCGCACTGTCATTTCTGCTAAGAAAAATACATAAACCCACAGATACAGACACAAAAGGACAGGCCAACAAGAGGTGCTGTGCAGAGCAAGCACAGAAATGTGAGGGAGCTGGTGGACAGACGTGGCTGGGATGAGTGCAGGGACCCAGGGAGCTGCGATGGGGTCAGGAGAGTGCTCCCCAACCCTGAATCACAACATCACTTCTGTCGGACACGAGGGCTGCAGTGTCTGTACCTGAGGAACCGGGCAGTGTGTGCTGTGTTCTGGGAGTGGCTCTGGGACGGGGCTGTGCCTGAAAACAGCACCAGTCTGGACCCCTCCCCCCCCCATCCCCTTCCAGAGACACAGCACGGGGGTGGGGTGGGTGCATGTGTGTGTGTGTGTGTGATGTGGGGGGTGTGGAAGGCAGCTGACCCGGAGGACACTGAACCCAGACACAGCCCGGCTCTGCAGACCGCTGATTTCTCCGTTTTTGAGAGGTTCCCGAAGAAAGATCGCACTGAAAAGTGCCAAACGCGATGACTGCAGCGAAGAAAATGCCGCCTCAACACATTTCCTCGGCGCTCAAAAGCACTGAGCTCAGCACAGCCGCAGCCAATTCCCCCCCAGCACGGAGCGCACCGCGCGGGGCCCTTTCCCGGTTCCCCGTTCGCTCCCCGATCCCCAGCGCGGCGCCGCGCCACGCGCGCACTGTAAACACGGTGACGTCGCCGGGGCGCGGAGCTCTCCTCCCCCCCCCCGGTGCGGGATCCCCGTTCCGTTTACCCGCGGTTGTTTTTTTTCCTACGCGTGCACAAACGGCCACGCGCAGCCCTCCCGGAACTCAAACGGCGCGGACTTTCCCCCGTTGCCCGGCGTCAGAGCGACGCCGCCGCCCCTCCCGCGGGACCCCCGGTGACCCCGCAGCCGCCACCGCCGCGGCGACGGGAGGGAGCAGCGCGGGAGGAGCCGAGCGGCCCGAGCCCCGCGGCGGGGAACCCTCGGGAAGCGCCGCGCCGAGGCCTCGGCCTTCGCGGCCCCAACGCCCGCCGGGACACCGGGGGGAGCGCGGGGCGGGGCGGGCGGAGCGGCGGG